ACCTATCTTTAAATTTCGTACTCCACGTAATTCATTCATATATTGCTCATAACATATTTTATAAAAATTTTAGTTCTACGTTAAAATTTGGTAGTTTCAAGCGAAATTAGGCTTCTACCTGGACCGGATTTTGCGCTTTTTCAGCCAACCGATTGTGGTTATTTGCCAAAGAAGCAAAAAATCGAAGAAAATTTTTCCTGCGTCTTAACCTAATTTAAAAAAAAAAAAAACAGTTCTGAAGGTTTTGAACAAAACAAAGGATAGTCTTACCCTCCTCTGCTCTGCTTCCTCACGTCATCAGTTCCTCATAAGCATCATTTATAAGCATTTATAATTGAACTGTACAATAGAGATGTCAGTACTTACCACCAGTTAACGTTGTACTGCTGCTTCCGCTTCTGTTTCCACTAACATTGTTTGCGCTGTTTCCATTGATGTTTGCGCTGCTTGCCTGGTTTTGCTCTCGCATCTCTTCATCCAATCCAAAAATGCTATTAATACTGCCCGAATACACGAAATCGGGATTGATAAATACTGAAAAATTGCTAAATAGTGATAAATACTGCAACAGTAACAACTAACACACAACAAAAATTCGTCAACCAATGCCAATTAATAACAAATTGTGTTGCATTTTGTCCTGCTAAGCTTAGGTGGTACGAACCAATGCGAGCCTAACAAGCAATCAACAATAAAAGTCAATTAATCACGCACAACATATTACAGTCGAAGCATCGGGTAAAATCGTCCGTAAGCCGTTAAGGTACTTCCGATAGTTACAACTTTTTTAGTAACAAGGATACCTCGAAACGACTTCAGGCCTGCCCATACGCTTTTTAATCTGTCAGGAAAACCGCTGAGCTGATAACTTTTTTCAGAAGACGAAACGAAAGTTAGGATCGCCAGTTGGCTGACTAACAGGTAATACACCATTTCTCAAAAAATAACTTTGTAAAGTTACCCATTGCAAAAATGCAGGATCACACTATAAACTGTAACTGATGCCATCATTCTCCGTGTTGGTAAAGCCTCGTAGAACACTGTCTATGGGAACCAAACAGATTTCTCGCTCTTTTTTGGGAGCGATCATGCTTGATATTACTTGAGAAGCTACCGCAGCCTACTTTTATCAACATCTACAACATTCTTAATAATCTTACGTTACGCTAAGATTGTAACAATCCAAATTACCCAAAGTAGCTTCGCAGGAATTAGGAATAAACAACAGAAGCAATAATAATTTTGATGTTACTCACTTGGTTCCCAGATCGGTTCTCGTATACGATCACGCAAACGTATCCAAACTTCATCATTTGGATGAAGACGCGGTTCAAAAAGTTCCGTGAAATCTCTTGGTTCGATGTCATCACCACCAGTCGCTTCTGCACCACCAGTTTCCTAAAATTCAGTTATATGGCGATCTCAAAAAAAAAAATGCAATCCTAAAAATCACATCAAAAGTAATTCTGTATAACATTTCTAGAGAGGAAAATACCCTCATTTTTGCTCTGGCTTAATTCAGTATTTGCATGCAGCATCAAGCTGCTGGCGCTAGCAAGCTGTTTTAATCGTTCTTCTTCTGACGGTAAGTACAGAAAAATAAGCAAAAATAAAGTAAAAGAAACACTTATATAAAAAGTATTAGCAAATGTACAGGTTGAAGGGAATCATAAAAAACCATATATAAGTGCAAACTTGAAAAATTTTTAATTGTATCAGCTACGATAAGGATGTTTCGGTTCATTAAATCGTATATGCTTCTTATCTGAGAAGCGACACGAAGCGCTTTAAGTCCCTAGCGTATGCCACGCACAGAGGCGGATCCAGGGCGGTCTTCCCGTAGGAGAGCGTGGGGGGGGGAGCGATTTTTCACCTTCTTCTTTCCCTTTCCCACTGCCCCCCCCCCTCTCTCTCGTCCAGTTCACAACCCACTTCTCGATCGTTGCGCAGCCTCCCCTGGATCCGCCAATCGCCATGCATTTTGATATCAATCTAACACCAAAATGAATCAAAGAAAAAGAAAACAGGCCTGAAAACGAATCTTAGAAAACTTAGGGGGTGTTCCAGCCCGGCTAGAAATATGTCAACAGATCACTGCTTATTAAATAATCTCATGAAACAGAAGCCATACATTCACTTCAAT